CTCAAAGGTCAGCCAAATCTGGGGCATTCCCTTAAAGCTATCAATCAAAGGCTATCATGTCGATAAATCTCTTCAAGTTTCCGTCGATCAGGGGTTATCATGTCGATAAATATATTTAGAATTCATTCAACTTGGGGCAATTACATCAAGAAATATATTCATAATTCTATCAACCTGGGGAAGTTACGTCGATATTCGACAAATCTCTCCAAGAAAGTTGTAATCAAGAGCAGCTTATTTTGTGATTCAAGAGATTGGGGCAGGCCACCTCATATCATATTGTGGCATGAATATTCTGGTCTTCTATTCAGCATAGTTTCCCTCAGAAATCCTCCAGACAGGGGCATTCCTCATCCGTACTCGCAAAGTTGCTCAAGCCAATTATGTTGTACGAGACGACTACAATCAAGTTAAAAGCATCATAATGATCGCCCTGCTATATACAGCGCGCGAAGTCGGATTCATCTGCTACATACAACTTCAAACCTAATTCCCCAAGTGAATTCAGAAAGTTCAGAGTAATCTTTTGACTTGGCACACACAAGTGTACGTCCTCCGAAAGCCAAAACTGGGGCATTCGCGGAGCTGAATCAGAACATCCCTAGTGGAGTAAACCAGGGTATTTGCAGAGCTAAACTGGGGCATTCGCAGGTCTCTGTGCCCATCTTTTATCCCCAAGTAATTCAAGAGGTAATTTCCCAGTGTGGCACAAACATGGGGCACGTATTCGAAGCGATCCACATGGTGTTCAATACCCATTCATCGACATATTCAATTCTACCGACCTCTCAACAATTTAAGGTGTAGGAAATTCGAGCCAAATTATCTCTTCCCCATCAATAGTGCGATCTAGAATTCATTTGTGTACCTGAAAACTCGCTTCGTCATTAAATAAATATTCAGCGGAGTCGTCAACAATCTCCGATATCATTAGCTCTCCAGTGCAAATTCTTATCAGTATCCCCAATAATCCTTGGTGCTGCAGGCTTCAAGCGACAATGTGTATTGGCACCCCAGGTGATGGGCAACTACTTCAAATAAGCCTTCGCTTATCCCATGAAGTCTATTTCTTTACATTGCATATAGTTATCATTACATAACATTACATCTTCAAAAGCGCGTAACCAATCAATTAGAATGGATATTTGCAGAAAAAGAGATTCAAACATGCAAATGAAGCATAAGCTATATCGGGTACCTTATACAAAAGACCTGAATTATTCAAGGACAACAACACATCCCCACAAGAGGGTATCGCTTCCAAAATCCATAGTCGGTGACCTTCACCTTCACAACTCCCAGTAAAACTGACACATCTTGTCATTCTAAACCTAGTTCTCGTCTGGTATCCAGTTCCCGTCTGAAAAATAGTTCAGTCTTCCAACACTGGTCTATGTAAACTCCTAAACACTCATCTGTGGCAGTCCCCCGAACACTCGTCCGTGTTTAACATCTTCCTTGATACTCGTCTGTATCTTCTTTCGATACTCATTTGTATCTTCTTTTAATACCCGTCTGTATTGATTAAAGCACTCGTCTATGTTATACTTTCCTTCTATTGACATCATGCTACCTTCCAACACTCTCCGTGTCCTGATCGACGTCTGTCATGTGAACCATCATGTCTTGATCGATGTCTCCCTTTTAGTTATCATGTCCTGATCGATAAATCTTCTGCGAATCACTGTGTCCTGATCGATGCATTCCTGTTAGCCATTGTGTCCTGATCGATGTCTTCCTTTTGATCAACGTGTCCTGATCGATGTATTCCTATTACTCTTTGTGTATTGATCGACATCCTTTTGGTTATTGTGTCCCAATCGATACCTCTCCTCTGAATCATCGTGTCTTGATCGATGTGTTCCTATTAGCCATCGTGACCTGATCAATGTCTCACTTATGGTTATCGTGTCCTGATCGATGTAAAACCATAAAATAAAAGTCAATTGTTAATTAGTTAGAAATTAGAGGTTAGTTGAATGACCATCTTGAATCTTGCATTTGAAAACTCATTAGAAGATTGATAAAATCAAAGCCTCTTAACAACAAGTTTCATTTGCTTTTTGTCAAGTATATCATTCATTTCAAATTCCCGAGGAAATAATAAATGTTCAACAATGTTTAAATGATTCACTTAGACCAAATTTTATGAAGATTCATTAGAGGATTGATAAGACCAAAGCCTCCTAACAATGAACCTCAAGGTTATTGAATTAAAGGTTTCAAATTAAACATACTTGGGCTTGCAAACATGGTTTTGGGACATAAATGATCATTTCTCGAATCAGGACAAAGTTTAGCACTATGTTAAGAAATCGTAAGTGGACTTATGTAGAAGTCACACCTATTTTGAGGACGGTTTTAATACCCCAAATTTGTCCTACCTTCTCATTTTATCTGGCTTACGCATCTCGCATTTTTCTCACGCACATAACCTCATTAGGTCATTTAACAAAATCATGCATCATTAATCAATCAAATGGGCATGAGAACAAGGATCTTGAAGTTAGGGTTTTGTATGTACTTTTAGACCCTTATCTTCATTCAGGCTTGAATCAATTGGTTTCTCATTAACTGTGGTTTGTGGAGCTTGGGTTTGGATTCTTGATCATTGAGAACTTCTTTCTCTCATTAAGCTACAAAGTTGTCATCTTCATCAAGGGCAGGATCATTAGGGTTCTATTAAAGGTTTAAGTAAAGACTTCATGAGTCAAGGCCTCATCATGGATAAAGGTTTGTTTGATTACCTGTTGAACAATTCAAAGATTGGATCATCTTTTTATCAATTCATCATAAGAGAGGAGTTGTTGACTAAGAATTGCTCATTCTCCATTAATACTCGACCAGGGTTACATTGTCGGAAGCATACATGGGACTTTGCATGAACTTAATGGAATCATTCCTAAGTTGAAAATTATTGGATACCTTATTCAAGATTCCATGTTAAGCACTTTTTTTTCATCCTATTTGTTGGTACTTATTCAAGCTTCGCAATAATTAAAGGAAAATTGGGAAATTAAAGTAAAAGCATATGATAGAAAAACGAATTCCAAACTTTGTTTGAATAGAGAAAGGCCATTTCATGTTATATTCATGAGATCCATTACAATTTCAATATTTATTCAAATTGAATCCAAATCTATTCAAAGCACCATGGACATGGAAGTCATTACAAGCCAATGTTCAGAAACGTTTAACAAAGAAGATTGGAAATACAAATGAGGCATTCAAGGAACATTACAAAAGGCATTTACATCAAAGTCTAATCATAAATCTAGCCTAATCCATAATATTTGTCTTCAGTTTTCTTCATGGTCAAATGGACTCCTAAGTCACGACTTCAACATTTATAAGGATCTATAAACATCAGTTTAGACCTGCAGAAGCACAACAATCAGAATCACCTCCATGTTGCCACCTGCCACAACCTTATATCTTGATATGCATTGTCATGTTATACATCAAAACAAAGCAACAAAATCAGTGCAACACATAATTCCATTATCAATTCATCCGTAAGTTAAATAATAATTGGAGGCATATCTAAAGCAGGCCATTCCATCACACAGTCATGTACAATTTCAGCTTGCAAACATGGTTCCATTGTAAATGCATCAAGTCTCCACCATACTAACTTAAAACATTGGAAGTTCATTACCTGCACCATTCTGGCTTTTCATGTTATCAAGCACAACAGAAAATAACATATGCGATGAATCATTCAAAACCAGTTGCCATGACTTGAGTACTCACGCACATACGACCCTGCATAAAAAAAACCAGAACCAACTGCTAACTGAATTCCTAACCAAGCCTCACCAGAAAAACAGTTAACCAATTTCCCAAACAAATCCCTAATTCCTAACTATTTAACCAAAACCATAATAGAATACTTACAGTAGCAAAATGAAGTATAACAGAAATCTAGAATTGCATAAATAGCACCAACTCAGTTCATTCTTAACCATTTTCTAACATATTTTCTAACTGTTTATAACATCCTCTAACTTCACTAACCAACCTCTAACTTCACAAACTTCCATAACCCCAAAAAAAGATTGTCCATAACAGAATTCTAATTATCAAAAACTAGTTTTTCTAACTGACTTCCCAACCTAACAACCACTAACTAACTTCTTTCTCCATAATAGAAAACAACCCTGCAAACTGTCAGATGAATTCTCTAACCCTCCAACAGAAAAACACCAACATAACATAATTAAAACTTTTCCAATCTCTAACAACCTCCAACTGTAATTAACTTTACAGAAAATCTCAAATCCACTCTAACTAACTTCCGGCTCATGCTTAACTGTCACCTAACTGATTGAAATCTCACCATTAATCACATAACTGAATCCTCCAATCCTAAGGAAAAGATTGATTGATCCCCAATTGATTCTCAATCTCTATCAACTATGTAACCTCTACATCACCTTCAATTTCAAGGACCTTCATCTTCATCACATGCTCAACCTCAAACTCTTTCGGATTCTCTCTTTGTGACCTCGCTTGTAATCTGCTATTTCACACCATCAATTTCTCTGAACCTCTGCAACTTCATCCTACACCTTTCTTCATCAACCTTCACTGCAACATTCATCTGCAACAAGCACTCCCACTACTCTCTACACAACCACAACGCACATCATCATCATCATATTCTTCTCTCATCACAGAACAACACTCATCGCTTCAAACATCACAAATCCACTCGCATAAACGCTTACGCTACAACGACAATAACAACAACTCAGACGCACAAAAGGTAGAAAGAAGAATACAAAAATTCAGAACCGAAAAAGTAGAAGAAGAAGATTTTAAGGAGAAAAACGAAAGAATCACAAGCTATAACCTGAAGACATCTATGGTGTTCTACTTGATTTCTCCACTGTAGAAGAATCACTGGAGTGTCTCTGATTGGTATGTGATGAATTCTTTCATTCTTCATCCTTTCCGCCTGATAATCCATATCATAGTGTAGTCTGTAGCATGCAAATTCAATTACCCAAGGTCCTAAGAATCAATTGGGCGCGAGAAGCAGTGGATTTAATTTTTAGCCTTTTTAGGTTTTCGGAGGTGAGTAGACTTGATGAGATAAAGTTAAAATTTGGGGAAGAAAATTGTGGAAATAAACTTAGAAGGATAAGACAATGAAAACAAGTGAAGAAATGTAAAGAAAGGTGGGACTCTGCCGCCTCCTGTGTGGTGGAGCGATGCCTAATAAAGAACGGTTCAGACAGATGAAAGAGAAAAGAAGACATTTGTTGATAAGATGAAGCGACACTTCCAATCAAACCCCAATCTTCAATCATCATCGTTCCACCGCTTCATTTTTTTTGCTTCTTTTTTTTAATTTAATAAAGTTAAATTGGATAAGTGGACTGAAACTGCATTGGGCTTGAATTCAACTTCTAAGCGCATGCCTCCATTAGGCCCATACTGCCACTATTTTTTTTAGCCTGACTGCTTGGACAAAAATGCAATTGGACTCTTTACTGAAGGGCTTTTAGCACCTATTTCAGCACCCTCCTGAAATTCAATTCTCACCCCCTGTTTCTCTTACCTTCTTTTTATGATTTTTTAGTTCTTTCTTTCATGGGTTTTTTCTTTAATAACAAAAATATATAATAAAAATAGTAAAAATATTATAAGACATTTTAGAAATTAATTAGGAATTTATTTCCCCTTTTGCTAAGTTTTTTAGTCAATTTTAATCACTAGTTTTACTCATTATGCCATGTATTTCGTTTGCGATTTTTGGTATGAATTGTATGTAATACCTTGATACTTGCTACCAAATTTTACTTGTTTGTATGGCCTTTCATGATTCCTTAGGTGATTTTGGTTCAAATTTAATTGAACCAAAATTAGACATTAGGCTTTTAATCCAAGCATGCAAACATTAGGTAGAATTCCCTCGAAATTCCAACTTTAGGTTTATGATGCATAATAACATTAGGTTTAGAAATAGTCTAGTCTCTCTTTGAATTTTCTATCCCCTTTCGCATTTGCATTAAAACAAAAACTTATTTTCCTTTCAAACTTAAAAACACTTTAAAATTACTGATGAGAATAATACTTCTATTGAGTATGGGAGGTGATAAGCGGGTTTATTCTCGATCTTATTGTTCTTTCATCTCAGGCCTAGGTGTGGTTCAAGTCTCAAAGACTCCTTTCATGGATAAGTGGAAGAGTGGTTAATAACTTTCTCTTGAGGTCAACTAGCCATCATCCGCAACAAAAAATACAAACCAATCAAAGTGTGGCATATTTCCTCGAGGGCGTAACTCGAAACCTTTTCAAGAGAGGACATGATTAATTTACTTTTGTGCCAACGCATAAGTCTCCAAAGGTCGAGCTGCGGTAGAAGGCGGAATTAACATTGTTCATAAAAAACACAAACAAATAAAACATGTTAGCCGAACTACAGTAGCTATTATTCCTCAAAAAGGATACATAGGCAATGGGGTAGGGCCCAAGCGAGTACAACTTTATTTTCCCTACATTCTTTTCTCCTTCTTTTGCATGTATTCTTCCTCAGGGGTAAAAAATAAGCATAGATTAAAGCACACCCATAAGATAGACAATAAGAGTGGATACCGTAGAGTACTACGAGCGTGTGGGGTGCTAATACCTTCCCCTCGTGTAACCGACTCCCTTACCCGATCTCTCAGTCGCAAGACCGTGACTTATCTCTTCTCAGGTTTTCTCGATGTTTACCTTTCTCTTCATGTGGGATAAAAGACGTTCGATGGCGACTTCATTGTTTGATTATTTTCAGCCGGTTGTTTCACCGGTCAATAGCAATCTATGTACCATATGTTTGGAGAAATGATATATAGATCATCCTCTAACAACATGTAGTACAAGTAAGAAATGAATAAGATGAAGAGGGGGGTGTGTTATATGAAATTAAGGTTTCAAATATCATCAACACCATTCATCCCTTTTGGTGGATTTGGTTTCTCAACCTATCAACACCCAAGATCTAATGAGGTTGAGGAATTTGTCACCAAATGAAATCCAAGTCAGAACCAAATAAAAAAATAATAATATTTAATAAAACAATATTTAAATGGTTAATAAAAAGGAAAATAAATGGTAAAATACACAAAGTATATTAAAATACCAAATAAAAAATCCTAAAAAATAGTCAGAGGTCAAACATGATTCAATAAATGTTAACAAATTTTTTAGAAAATTTTTAAAGTCAGAAACTATTTTTAGAAATAAAAGAAATAAGTAAAACAAACCAAAAATTTGTTAAAAAAACAGTAAAATCAGAAATAAAAAAATTGTCATCAAAAATTGCTAAAAGACCAAAGGATCTTTCCATAATTTTTAACAATCAGAAAATAATTTTAAACAATTAAAACAATCAAAAGAAAGTGAAAAATCATAAAAAAAAATCAAATCTGAAAATAAAATTGTCAAAAAATAAAAATCAGAAAGATATTATTCTAAAATATTTTTGTTAATTTTTTCATAATTTTTGGACTAGAAATGGATTTTTTTTATGGATTTTTGAAGTTTAAAACAAATAAATATAAAAATGAGAAAATAAAAGTAAAGCTAAAAAAATATGGACCACTGGATCATTGTCAAAACGTATTAGTAAGTAGATCCAACGGATCTGACACGCTGTGCATGATATGGTCACTATAGGAAATCATACCAAATCATTTTTTAAATCAGATTTTAATAAAATAAAAAGAAAAAATGTGATCCATTGGATGAAAGTCAAAATGCGTTAGTAAACAGATCCAAAGGACCTGGCGCATTGTGCATATCATGGACCCTCATCCAAAACACACTGAATCAAAAAACAAACAGCCATTGAAAATAAAACAAATGTCCAATGTTCATTGGTTGAAGAACGACATGTAGGTCGTCTTCAACCTCCAGACACCCTGCATGTGGGATTTTTTGAGATTCTTCAAATGGAAACGTTAGAAGCTCAGACTTATATCATTGGATTCGTCTCTTCAAGAAGATCCTAACCTCACTCTCGCAAAAAATTTATATCAACTGAGCAAAGAGAAAAGTGCAGAAAACAAAAATAATAGCGAGCACTTTAGGTTGAGATTTCTCACTCAATTCTCAATGATTTTATAAATTATAAGAAGCACAAGGATCAGAAGGATGAGTAGAGTAGAATAGGCTTTTATTTGGAACAATTTGGTTCAGAAAACTACCTGAACAAGGCTCACAAAAATAGCTCTAAAAGTGAACTTCTAGAGCTCAAAATATGGCACGATTTGCTTGGTTTAAGTGTTGGAGAGTCTGTATGTTTATGGAGGATGATGAATATGTATAGAAATTGTGAAGAGAGAGCTTGAAACTCTGAAATGGAATTTCAAATTTCTGAGTTGCGAATGAACTTTGGCAGGGTGTATTTGGCTCTCAAAGCTTGTGTAAATGAGTGCAATGTGGTCATATATTTATAGGGAAGTTAATGGAAATGAGAATTGGAAGAATTACTGGAGTTTGGAGGAAAATCGTAAGAGACCGTGAACATGAGAAATGTGTGACTCCATATGCATCAAAAATCACTCAAACCTTGCATTTTAAGGCTCTAATCCACTTTGTCAAGTTGGTTAAACATGTTTAGATAAAAAAACATGAGCTAATTTGGTGTTTATTAGCCACATTATGGATTTCAAATTCCGACTTTGGAGAAAACTTCAGTTTCAAGGTACCAACTTTGAATCCATGGTGTGCACAATTCAAGGGATCTTAGGGCATAATTCTTGAATAATTTGAAAGATAAGGTCACAATCTTTACAATGTGAAAAGAGAGAGGTCATTTGGATGCTTGAGCTAAAATTTGTGATGAGTCAAAGTTGAGAAAAAGACGCTGACTTTTATACTTAGAAAAATTTCAAGTTTTTTCTTCAAAAGTAACCTATAATGTTTTGAATCCAACAAGGCCTTCCTCCAAAATACTACTTTGATCATTGATGCTAGATTTAAGTGGAATTCCCAAAGAGAATTGGGAAACTTGAATCACTCAAAAATACCAAGTATTGAAAAGTTATGGCTTTGTGAATTTGGTGAAAATCCATGAGGTGAACTATAATCTTTTGAGATCATAAGGCATCTTCCACATATTTTCAAGTCTTGAACATAAAATAAGAGTTAAAATTCACATTATTAAAATCAATATGGAAATGGAATAGGATCAATGAGATAAAAATTGACCAAGTTATGATATTTTGAAGTTACATAAGGGAATTTGATGGCTTATCTAGAAGACATGTAATATTTCTCCATCATTAGGAATCTTCCACACAAAATTTGCTTGAAAATTTTGAAGTGATTGATTGATAACCCTTTAAAGAGAAGCATATCTTTTTAATCACTAAAAAATATCAAAAGATGAACAATATATAGTCCTTATAAGTTCAAAACCCTAGCTCTTAGAGCACCAAAATAACTTGGAAACCCCTTACAATTTTGTCAATCTTTCTTGCACAATCACTTTTGCCATGTGAATAGAAGTTTTTGTGGATGATAATAAGAACCCATAGAAAAAATAACCACTTCCAAATATTAATAATTGAGAGAGTTATTCACTTGTGGTCAAGGAATCAAGAACTTGTCCAATTAGATCAAACCTCTTCAATCAACTCTTGTATCTTTTGACTTCTTTTATCAAATTGTGGCATGATGAATAATAGTAGACCTTGTCATGATATTACTTTAAAGCTTTCTCAATGATGAAGCTTGAATCTCAATGAAGCTTTGTTGGAGAAGGCATGGAAATAAACTCATGAACCTATGAATCAACCTGATGAAATGTGTTGTTCCCTCACCTATAGGATCATTATTTAGAGAAAACATTCATTTTATTTGTTGGTTAAAAAGTTAATCAATACATGACATATATGATCACAATATACAAATCAAAGTGCTTGGTGATCCCTCATTATCAAACCTAGAGATAGGGAAAAAAACCAAACCCAAGGGTGATCTTGATATGATTGAGTTAATATGAGATGATAGAGGAATCTTAGGGGGGAAATTGTGGTACAAAGGATTGAAGATTCATGTTCTTCATCCCCGGCGATAGTCATGGATTTATTTTTCCCAGTCAAAGATGTCACACGAAGCTACCAATACACTTTAACAAGATCTCATATCCATACATCATCTACAAAACATCATAACATATGCGCACGAAACGCATATAGCACTCTCGTTTATTTTTAGAATATCATTACACAATGCATTACATACATCATGACATTGCATAAAACTAACTTTGTTTCTTTAAGTTTAGTCTGCAAATAGACAAATATCATCAACAATTTTC